CAACAAGCGTCTCCAGCGTTGCTCGCGGTATACATAGCTGATCGATAGCAACACAGCGATATCTTATCTCTTTGGTCACCGGCACGCTGAGTTCGATATCGTTATTCTCCCCGATATCCACCCGATAACCAAGTATCCTTCCATCACTCCTCGAAGCGTGGTTTTCGTCAGCTCAATAGGTATTCCAAGTGCTGTCACCAGGAGCAGGCTGAATACCAGACAGAACCTCGCCTTGCTTGTGGCCATCGTATAGTCATCCACATATACGATCGCTTGAAATATTGTAGTAACAATCTCCGGGGCAACCATTCGCAATGCACAGTCCAATAGGCGTTTTACACAGCGTAGGCTCGCCTCCCGAAAACGCTCGGGGATGTTACGAGGCCGAAAGGCAGGCAATTGTGCTTGAAGGCTCTGCTGGGATCCCGAGGGTCCAGAAAGCATAGGAATCCGCGTTCGCTCGATTCCACACTAATCAATCTGAACGCTGATACTATGTCCCATTCTAACAACCAAACTTGGCTATCCTCATCTCCAATACTAGGGGTTGGTCGCGGGACATTAGCCAATAGATCGTAAACATCCCGGAACCTAGGAAGACAGCGGGTTGTTTTCAGGCCACGTACAGTACCGTCTTCGCCTTTGCTTTCGAGTAGAGCTCCAGTACGTACGGTAATATTGATACCACTCCTCCTGAAGTCGTCCAATTGTCGGATGGTTTTGAATTCCTTCCCGTTTTTCCACATCACATGAACTTTCGACAACGCCTTGCAGTCTGGACTCGTCGGATTAATCTCTGATAACCGGCCTAGCCGAAGCTCCTTCGCTATGAGCTCTTCGACCAGCCTATACATATCTGGAGGAATGCTGCCCTGCGGCCAGTCGCGTAGCCTCAGCTCCTCGAGTTTTCGCCAGGCCACCGCACGAAGGACGGCTCATCCTTCTTTGGTTTGCCAAACTTGTCAGTATCGACTGCTGGCCATTCCGCATTTACTCGAACCGGGATTAAGATGCCAATTGGTGCTCCCTCAGCTACCATCCGGCAGATATCCGCGTCTTCACCAGGCGACTCCGTCGTTGCTCTTTACCAGGGGCCGTACTGAGGCAGAGTTCTTCTAGCAGTCTAGCGCGTAGAGGGGACGGGCGGAGGCGGCCAGCTCTCCCAGCTCCGATTTATTGATGTTCTTTGCGACCGAGATGAAAGTAGTCAAGTCCTCAAGGAGATCGTTGGCCACACTATTGAGGGAAGCTCCATCATCAGCGTTCCACTCCACACTCATCGCGGATTGCTCTTCCCAAGAGGTGGTGAAGAAACGATCTAACAAGTCCTTTCGGGCCGCACAGGACCTCTCTGTGTGCTTAATTAGAATCCCAGAAGTACTCTCTATTAATGGCAGCTCAGATTCTCGAAACTCGAACTTGTCCCACTGCCCTGAGTACCCGGAGCCATCTCGAGGCTTTCCCTCCACCGCTGCGGCTGATAATTCCTGGGTCGACGTCACCCAAGGGTGATCTTCAGGCTTGCTGGCAGCAAGTTGCTGCCCAACTTTCTGCGCCTATCTCGCTGTTTCTTCGCTTGGGTAGACCTCACGTGTGGCATTTCCCAAAGAAGAGTCTCTTTGTTAAGTGGGAACCAAACTGAACAACAGTCGTTCCGAGAACGACGTTTCCTCCGTCCCATTTATCGTGTTATGACCACTAGGAACGGCACTGACGCAACCCAACAGCGACCAGTTTTGACTACGTGATAATCAAACTTCGGGAAATGGCGGAAACTCAGCTTCAACAGTGTTGGATTGGCACCAAACCAATGCCGCAGCTATTGGTTCTTAGGGTTCTTCCTTGATGGTTCATCCTTCACCTGCCCAGTCCTAGGGCGTTTAACAGACCCGAAGCTACTGTCCTTCTCCCCACCTTGACCGTTCTGCCAATAAGGCTTAGATTGGGGTTAGAAAATGTTTACGATAACGGCAATCCCTACCGAAGGGACAGGATTGGCGAGTGAAACGGCAAGTGTCAGCACCGAAGTGCATAGCGCTCCCTTGCCTACGTATATCCTTGCCCGAAGGTGGCCTGGGTATGCCAGATTGGCTCATCGCCGGTTTAGCCAAGGCTACAGCTATCAACTCGTGAGACTGATTGGATCTTAAATAGGTACCGAGGGCAGAGTCGACTTGGAGAGAAGGGACTACTGCCTCGAACGATCGTGACCTCGCTAACCAGAGCAACCGGCTCAGATAAGCAACCGTGCCTTCCTCAGCTTCGGGAAGATCTCGACCACGACGACACCACCACCACCACCACCGTAGTTTTTGTTGGCATCGACGACTTCGCTGGCAGTACCGGGACTTTTGGTGGATGAGCTGGCAGACTTCGCATCGGCTACCTCCGTCATAGTGGTTGTTTCGGACTCTCCGTCGAGTCCCCCATCTGCACACCTTCTCGATAGTTCGTCGGTCAGCTCCTTGTCCTCCAGGGCCGCCTCGAGCACACCCACAGTACTAATACCCATGTCGACACAAACAGTCGACGCTTTCTCGGCCCAGTCGGGGAAAACTTCGCGGAAGAGGTCGGGCGTGCTGGGCGTGGTAGACATATAAAAACAATCTGCGACCAGCTCACGTAAATCGTAGCATGACCCAATACTCGTCTAGCTGAATTCTGT